GAATCATCATCTGCTTCTTTATCTAAATTATCATCTCAATCTAATTTTGGCATCACAAATCTAGTAGCAGGCTTTAATTTCGAATAAACTTTTTCATCCATTATTATATCATCATTAAAGCAGTCAATCCCCCAATCAGAAGTAATAGCACAAAATACTTTATCTATTGCGCTTGTTTTGAAATTTATCATACTTCCTACAATATTAATAATAACATTTTTACCAATGAAATAGTTATTTCTATCACTATTATTATAATCAAATGACGAGATACAATTTACTATCTGCTTTTTATCGGATGTATATATAATTCTTCCGAATGAAAATAGATGATTTAGATCTAATTCTTTATGCCTACATAGATTAGAATTAAAAAATGTAATATGGCATGACCCTTCCTCTTTATATATCGCTTTTAATCTATCTATTTTGTATATAATGTAATTTAGACTTTCATTTGAAGAGTTGACAGTAGGATAAAAATTGAAATCCAATTCTGAATTAGATATAGAATTAACACACTTGTTTGTCACAGGATCTTCTTTAGATATATGCATACCCACATATTCAGCAGTTGTTTTATCAAAATTAAAATTGATAGTTAATTTTCTCACAATTGAAGAAGTAGTGGAGATGCTTATATGCAATTTCCCAAATATATCAGATTCATGGTTTTTAAGTGTGCCTATTCTAAGATCTGTGTCTGCCGATACTTCCATTTTTTTATTGAATGAAAGCAAGGCCAATATTTTATTAACTAAATTATTAGTATCCGCCGTCAGTTTTGAGCTTAAGTTTTTTTCTTCTCTTACTTTTTTAATATGCTCATTTAGTTCTTCCTTTATGACTTCAAACATATTAGTTATGTCTAAAATAATAGAAAGCATGCTTAGCAAGCCTCCATTACAATACTGGGGTTTAAGGCTAGAATTTGACGAATTCTTATGTGTCAAAGTATTAAACAATTTATACCAGTCATAGTGAACACTTAAATCTTCTGTGTCAAATAGGTCTCTGTACTTAGTAAAGAACTGCTTTAATTCTACGGGAGAATTTTCAATTTTTTTAAGAGTGTACTCCATATCTGTGCTGTTATAGAAGCAACAGCAAAGTAGAGTAAGTATGCTAGTTTCTGTCCCAATAGTAAGCTTTTCTAAACCAGAAAGATATTCTAGGTTAGTAGGAGAGAAATGCATGGATGGGTTGGATGTATTCCTAGAACTAGAAGCCATGCCAGTTAGGGACAATTCATTATTTTTGTAGCAAGTACGTAAAATATCTGGCATGGATAGTTCTCTATGAAAGGGAATAAACACATATTTACTCACATAATTATTAGCACTTTCTATATTTTCAATTTTTTCTGCTTCTATATCTAAAAATTCTTTATCCATAGGACAGAATATATCTTTAAAAGCATCTATAGCGATCATGTATGCAAGATTTAAATTTCTTTGGTTTTCTATTGCTTCAACATGATCTTTTAGTATATTAAATGTTTCTATAAGATATTCTTCCATATCTTCTTTAGTAGATAGATACTCAACTATATATGTTTGTATAAGTAATTTAGCCATACGTACAGCATATTTAGTATTGAAATCAGTAGTAGGATCGAATATATTTTCTAATTCATTATATTTAGCTTCTTTATAGAAATCAACTATATTTTTAGTTTGCGTGTAATAAGGTTTATAATCTAGCAAGTATGGTTCATTTTCATCCATTTTGGCCACGTAAATTTTTTTTCCTAGCTTCAATTCGGTACTAAAGTAATTCTTAGTGCTATATTCAGATGTTTTAAGAACAAGCACCACACGATTTATCTTTATTTGTTTTTATTTCTAAAGAAATATTTATCCCATTAGAAAGTAAAAACAAAGAAGCAAGCAGTCTCAGCCTGTCTTTTTTCTCTGGAATATTATTAAGAAAAGCTAAAAATGAATATTTTTCTTCTGAATAAATTGTTGCTCTTCCATCCACTGTAGGAAACATGTCAATTAAACACCTATAAAAATTCAAATATATTTTTGGAAAGAAGAGTTGCTTATTGTCTAAATCACGAATGTCATTCTTACCAGTTGTTTTACTGCATTTATAGACATTATCACCAGATTCACTAGCTGTAACTTCCATTTTATATTGTGTGCCTATTTGATGGCCAAATGTGCGTATGTTATATATTTCACCACGTTTACTATTGATATATAAGTTTGTAGGATGCAAAGAGCTCTGTGGAGATACCATTCTATCCACACCTTTATATGATCCAACAGCAATTCCTTTAAATTCTTTTACTTCTTCCCATACCATTCTTGCTTTTATATTTGTTATGTATAATAACACTATACAGTATCTAAAGTACATATAATTTTTATTTTTGAGTTATATTTATACTTTAAATTTTTGGTTTAATTAAACCGCTATTGGATTAAATATAATAATATGTCCTATTTAAGAAATATAAAATTATATTTATATAAAGAATAAATAAATTAAATTTTAATAAGCTCATATTTATATTACAGGGGTTATCTCTGAGATATTCGGATTATAAATGGTTAATAGATGACAAAATAGGGTGAAAAAAATATACACAATTGTATAATAATAAAAATAAAGGAGTAAAAGGAGTAAAAGGAGCAGCCCAAGATTCTAAGAGGCAAATAGAAACAAAAGCAACATTAATCTATGTTGTATGCAAGACTAGTATTAGTATAAAAATACATGAGTTATCTGATCTATTTATTTTCTGTTACAATAAATGAACCGATTTCAATTTTTTTATTATTCTCGTCTTATATGTCTCTAATTTCTATATATAACAGCTCTATGCGACTTCACAAGCATAGGTGAGAGGCGTTTAAATTGGGCATAGGTCATTATATGATAGAAGCCAGCACAGACAATATAATAATGAATTTATTAGCATAATTTAGTGGTATTGTATATGAATGTATGTTATTATTTGAATTTTACTATGAATTGTTCTTTTATAGTACTATAACAAATGCTTTAACAACAGTATGTCTATTAATAACAATTGATATTTTATCTATTATACTTTTGCATATTTTATAATTAACTTATTTTTAGCAATATCAAGTGTAAATTTAGAGGCAATGCAGATAAAGTTAATATTAAATTGTACTTTTGCATCACAATTAACTAAATATTTCGGGTTAGTCGTATATTTTGTCAATTAAGTTCTATATATAATTTTATTTCACAGATTGAATTTTCTAGAAATAGTCTAAAATGAATTATAAACAAGTATAAAGTGCATTGTATTACTTATTTCTCTATTTAAACATAATTTTGTCTAATTAATAATGCACTAAACCAATAATAGTACATTTACAGAAAAAATATTCTGATTTAATTCATAAAACTACAAACTACACACAGAATCTCTAAGTTAATTACTTCTGAATATATCTATAGAGCATAAATTACAAAATTATATTCAATTATATACCTATAATAATAGATATTTTATATTCTTAAACATATAACTGTTGAGAATATTATTATAACCCGAAATGTAATACATAAAGTAGCAATATTTAAATATCAGATATATACTACTAGCATAAGAGCTTATGCAGTATATCTTATCATAGAAGGCTCTTTTATAGGAAATTTCAAGCATACAATAAATATAAATATTATTACTGCGAGTATTACACTTAGTATTCTTTATAAAATATTTTCAATGGGTAATAGAGGATGCACGGTCTTTGTGGGTAATATTGACTTTACCATACCAGAAGAAACAATAGTAGAAGAGCTTTCATCTGTTGGGAGAGTAATTTCTTTCCGGATGGTAACAGACAGGGCAACAGGTAAATCAAAGGGATATGGGTTCTGTACATACGAATCACCAATTGTAGCAGACATAGCAGTGAATAGACTAAAAATAATGCTAAATAACAGGCCAGTGAAGATAAACTATGCAGATAACAACACAGTGCAACAGCCGCAAGTAGAGCAAGCCAAGCTTGATATTGATGGAATAGTTTCAACACTAAACAGGCTATCACCGGAGGAGACAAAAGACATACTAAAGCACATGAAACAGCTAGCATTAAATAGACCAGAAGAAATAAGAGCACTACTTACAGAAAACAGTTCTCTTCTCTCTTCACTACTGCATATTATATTTACGCTAGGACTTGCGCCAAAGGAAACTCTGGAGAGTATTCTAAACAAATCATTTTCAGTGAAAGCACAGCAGGCGCAGATTATGACAAGAATACTGCAGTACCACGAATATGAAATAGAAGACATTCCACTTCCAGCCCGAGACAAGATTAGAAAAATAAGAGAAAGGTTACTAAAGAAGGAGTAACTAAGTATAAATACAGTTAACAATGCAGTGTACAATAAATATTGCAGAAAATACTGCACATTATATACAGAAGACATCTTTTAAATAATGGCAATTTATTATTTTTAAGCAGTTGCTGCATCTTTTTCGTTCTTTCTAAGGTCTCCTGCTACTCTTGCAGCCTTCTTCTTCTCAAGAAGAGCTTGTCTGTTATGGTCCATGCATAATTTTGTTATAACAAGGGAGGATGCGCAAATACCGAATGAAGCAGTCTGTCCATTCTTCTTTTCTCTGTAAGATATGTCCAAAACTACTTTGTAAGTGGCTCTGTTCACTTTTACAACCTTTCCTGTCTTTCCTTTTAAGTTTCCTCTAAGGACAAGTACTTCATCTCCTTTTACTACAGGGAATGACTTAAAGACGTACTGTTCTCTTAATTCTTTGCTAAGCCCGGATGACATGATTATTCTTCTCTTTGCATCGTTGGCTGTAAAATGTGCCTTTCGGCATGTTCTTCTGGAACTGCTCACTTTTCTATTATATTTCATGCAGGGTGAAAAAAATAAAGAAATATTTATAAAAAATACTGAACATTCTTAGAGCGAATATAGAAAGAACATGCAAGAATAAATAATACTCAGAATAACATGTATGCGCAGGCCGCAGTATTATGCAAATTAGAGACTGATCTCAGAGAGGGCACAGACTCTGTAGTTGGCACTAAACATACAATAGACAGTGTAATAATCAATTCATTCTTTATAAGACTGCATAATAAATACTCTAATGGCGGATAATCCGTAATAATTCCATTTATTTCAGTGGCACGAACTTAGATGAGGAAGTTGCACCAATTCCTGGCTTACCGTGGGAAACCATCTTCTGGGCAGAACTGAAGTCAGCTAGTCTATACCCAATCATCTCAGGCTTTACTTCAAATGTGATGTGCTCTTTTCCGTTGTACACCCCTAATACACATCCAACTAACTGTGGGAATATAATCATAGATCTGCAATGGGTTGTTACACACTCTGGCTTGTCTCGGCCTCCCTCTGCGGCCATCTTTGACTTCTCGCAGTCTAATAAGAACTGAATTTCCTTCTGAGTAAATCCTCGTCTAACTCTTCTTCTGGCTGCTGATTTTAGCAGTTTTGAGAATTCCTCAATTGGCATCTTGACTAATTCTTCAAAGTCAATCCCTCGGTATTCAAATCTTCTGAATGTTTTTCTCTTTTGCGCTTGGGTGTTTTCCATCTGGGGATATAAAAAAATAATTTGTAAAATATCCTGGACAGTTATTTCAATCCATGAAAGAAAACAAGAAGAGGAATACAAATCAGAAAATCATACAATTCAAGGCAATAATCAGCTGAAATATACTTTATCTATAAAAACATCCAATACTCCAAAAACAGCCCAAGGCACAGAATAATACCAGTAGCCAATAATGAAATCCAGAATATTTGTGTAATACTACTGTATATAACAGAAGAAAAATCAGAATGCATTTCGGGCCATAGGCGGTACTGCATCTCTGGTAATATTTACTCTAATTACTAGCTAGACAGAAATGTACTTCTGGGGATATGACGTACTAAAACCATTTTTAGTTATTAGTTACAGTGCAGTCGCCTTCTATTACTGTGGCCATTGTAATGCACTCTTTATCTACTTCATCACTTTCTGTGGCATCTGCCATATGAACTGAGGTTATTTTTAGTGGAGAGAGTGTCTTTGCTCTCCTCAACAGTGTATTCCACATGGAATGGGAATAGAGAGTCTGTGTTATCACAGAGCCCAGAGAATTCAACGGATTTCGACTCATCTTTGGATAATTCCTCTATTTCACCAATTATATAATCCCCGCAGACCTTTCCATTGAGTAATTCCATATCCGAGACCCTTTTTATTGGGACTTTTACAATAACCTTCTTTACATCAGCAGTTGCTGTTATTTCAATAAAGAACTTGTACCTTTCTTCTGACACTTCTGTCTGCCAGAAAGACACATCAATTGGCATGTCCACCTCGTCAAGTGCCCACTTCATCAGAGTAAGCGTTGTATTGCATGGAATGTCTGTTTTGGGGACTATTCTTCCATTAGAAAACTCCTTTTTGTCAACTGAAGGATGTGCTCGGGCATTTCTTGGCTTGCTCTTGTTTAAGTCAATAGAGATGTTAGAGTATTCCTCATCTGTTATTCTGATCAATAATTCGCCCACTCCTTCTGCTTTGACTGCTTCTGTTTCTGAATTTATTGTGGCAGTGTGCTTCTGCTGAGTCACCAGATTTATTCCATTGTTCATTTTCTCAATTAGTGGCTTGCTCCTCTTCACTTCCGGTACTGCTTTTGACTCCCGGGAGTTTATAGCTGACACAGGCATTTCTTTCAGATCTTTCTTAAGTATTCTTATCTCTTCCATCTCTTTTGTTATTTCATCAATTGCCGGGTGCAACTTTCTCATTTTAGCTGCTTTCTCCATCTCTTTCTCTTTCCCTTTCATTATCATCTCATGCAGTATTTCGTCATTGCTCTGTATATTAATTATTCGGGTTATTTCTTCAACTGACCTGTTAATTACCCCATCCTTTGTAAATATTTCGTCAATTATGCTAAGTAATAAGAATATTTCATTGCTCTCTAGAGATACATTTCTTATTAACGATTTACTAAGCACTTCAACAGTTTTTAGCGAGTCAGATATTCTTCTGTCTTCTTTGTCTGCCAGTACAATTACAGACAGTTCATCTATATCTTGATAGAAAAAAGTTCCTATCTCACTGTGTAGAACAGTTGAATGGGCCTTCTTTCCTTTTGTATCAAGGAATACTTCAATTATTTGCAATATTTTCTCTTTATCCATTTCAACCAGCGGTCTGGCTATGTGTGAGCCTGTTTCGCTTAGTAATAGTACAGCTGCCAGCATAAACAAATTATTAATTTGCAAAAAATACAAAATATAAGAATGATACAGGCACTTTTTGTTGTGGTTATTCTGAGATTGGCAATGAATTATATAATACATAAATTAAACAGGGTTAAGTTGCCAGATAATTTACGGTACTTAATGATTATTGCTCACCCAGATGACGAGAGTATGTTTTTTGGCCCATTCCTGACAGATGTACTTCGGAAAAAAGGAGACATTTCAATAGTTGTATGTACTGGTGGTGAGAAAGGAGGAAAGAAAAAGGTAAGAAAGCAAGAAATGGAGTATTTATGTGTATCACATGGGATGTCCTTGTTTTTATTAGACTATCCTGATGGAAGGCTGGGAGAAACAGAGAAGCTTATGAATAATCTTGAAATAATTTATAAAAGCACAAACAGTACATCTATTGTTACATTCGATTCATCTGGAGTGAGCAGTCATGCGGACCATATTGCGTGTAACAAAATAGGTGTTCTTCTAGCAAAAAAAGTAAAAACAAAGCATTTATATGCACTTGAATCACTAGGAATACTTGAAAAGTACTTTTTACCCGTTTTTACGCTGTTTAACCTGATTTTTATGAGAAAATCTGGTATTTTAGTGAGTAGTTCATTATACGAACGCATTAAAAATAGAAGAAGAATGCTTTGTCACAAGAGTCAACTGCTATGGTATAGATATTTCTACATTACATTCTCTTCATATATGGATTTTACTGTTTTAAAAAACCTAACAGAATAAAAGAAATGAATTTGGTTTATTTTGCTCTCTAAAGTAATCTTGGCATGGGTGCGGTATTCATTATGACTTAAGAGGTTCTTCTACTGCCTGGTCTTCTGCTGTCAGGTCTTCCTCAAGATTTGACTGAGTTGCTGGTGTATCACTTAGTTCTTCGGCTGGTTTAGGAGTCGATGCTTTTTTTGGCTGTGCAGGAGAAGTCTTAGCTGGGCCTGCTAGTTTGTTCTTTTTAGATATTTCTGCGAGTGCTTGGGCAAGGACTGCTTTTTCATTTATTTTTTTAGCAAGAATATTCTGTGCATTTATTTGCTCTTGTAGAGAAGATTCTTGTACGGTATTCTCTTGAATTTCTGGTGTAGTTCTGGGGTGAGTTCCTGATTTGGATGATTTTGGTTTTTTTGAAGAATCTTCTGTTAAAAGTTCTTGTGTTGATATTTCGCTATTCATAACTGCATTGTGAATGGTATCTTCTGTTGTCCTAATTACTTTACTAATTATTCCAATGGGCTTTTTGGGTTTGGCTTCTTTATTAGGGCGAGGAGTCTTTTCTTGAATAAGCTTAATTGGTCTTTCTGATTCTTGTACTTGTTCGCTCTCTTTTATTTTGAACACTTTTTTCATAACTGCCCTTGCTGGTTTTGGTAGGGTTATAGTAGCTAGTTTTTCTTTTTTCTTCTCTTTACTCTTGTCACTGTTTCTTATTTCTCTGTTTGCAAGTGCGTGCATGATATACTCCATAGATGGGCTCAGTTCTTCTACACTGCTGGTGTGCTTAGAAAATACATCATTTGCAATTTCTTCGGCTTTATCTGCCTCTTTAGACATGTTCTGGTTCATGTGGTTTATCATATTGACTAAATTTGTTTTTGAATGGATAGGTCTCATTGATGGCAGACTAATTCTCATTCTTTTGATGGGCTTTGATTTTATAGAAGTTGTTTCTGGGCTTAATTGCATCTTAGCCAGAGTAAATCCCTTCTTTCCACTTAGTTCATGCACTATACTGACCATTTTATTCGTTGGAGTTTTCTGTGCCTCATCAATGTGTAGGTAAGAGTGTGCACTGTGTGCATTCTGGTATGGAGTGGCTTCTGCTTGCTCATTTATTATGTTCTTCATTAAGGTGGTTGGTATTTCAGAAGCACGTATGTTATTGGTGAGTGGCAGGTGTGCATTAAGACCCAATACTTTAGGAGCAAGTGCAAGTAGTTCTGGCCTTTCAACTATCGCTTTTGTAATTGTCTCCATTGGAAGATTTCCTTTCAAATAGCTTTCTATAATTTGGTCTACTATATTGTTAGAAAGGAAATTATTTTCTGAAATTGCACTAAGTCCTGTCTTAGGCCGCATACTCTCAATAGAAGATGTACTCACTGGGCTACTTATAACTGTTTGAGAGAGTGCCTGTGGCTTTTCTTGTGTCAGTGCTTGTGCTTGTTCCTGTGTAATGCCAGATATGTCATTTATCTTCTCCATTTTCCTTTCAATATTCTGTAAGTCACCTGAAAGCACGTTTTCTACCTTTTCTCCTACTTTCTTCTTTCTTAATAAATCACTTATTTTTATCTTCACTGTGTTTAAGTCTTTAACCATTTCCAGTAAGACTCTGCTGGTCTGTGCTTTATGTGTCATTGTTATATAACCCAATGCACACACAACAGCCATTGTGCATAGTACAATAGTTCCTTTCATGATTTTCTTTTGCTATTCTGCTTTTATACCCAATTTGAAACACCTTTCATATACAAATAAACAAACATCTCTAAGCACAGCACACAGCGTGCATAAATTTACATAACCCGCATATAAAAAGAATCTCAGATGGATTTTCTATATATTTCTGGACATAGAGTAATAAATATTAATTATTACACCATTGGTAATAAGTCATGATCAATATTTATACTAGTAATTTTTATGCATTGTGTAATAAATTAAGAAATATAATATGGCATAATATCGTATACAATGTATCATATATCTTATTAAATATCCACTTTACAATTTTTGTAGTTTTCGGGTTATATCGGGTTATGTAAATAATTCTATTTATTACGCGTTTAGTCTTATTTACAAATATTTTCCAGTATATTATGGTGGTATTTATTATGTTCTTGGTGCAATATCTATTTAATGGTTTATTTACACTTTATATTAACTAAACATCACTGAAAATTAAAACTAAACACACAATGTGCAATAATTACTAAATTATTTCAGAACTTATTACACATAGCCAGAATTTATTACTCTAAGTATATTATTTATTATAACCAGAAGTGCCAGAAATATTTTACACAATGACTCATAAGTAAAGTACCCCTCCCAGCCCACTTCTTTATAATCAATGATTAATTAATCCTATAAAATATCAATATTGCTCCTGTGTATAGCAATATATGGAAATACCCACTTACTGCACATACACTTAGCCCCATGCCACTTAAACCGACCAAGTACTCTATTGCACTTACTGCAATATATCCTGCCCTCCTGCCTTTCTTCTGTTTTTACCCCTTCTGGTAGTATCCCCATCGTTATACTACTGCAATTAGGATGTATTTCTGCTTCTCTCACATTAATTAATCCTCTGCAATTCTTGCATGTAACATTCATTTTCTTTATTTTCTTTTTTGTGGATATGAGCAGTGAAGTGCCCCGCGTGTACCGAGAGATCATAGAAGAGGTCATTCGAAGTACAACAGAGAATAATTATAGGATAGGGATAGATAAGAATGTATTAGAAGAAATAAAAAGCACATGGATAGCAAAGATATGTGAATATACAGACATAGGAGAGTACAAGATACTAACATACGACAACCGAATGGGCATGGATGGGTACTACTCAGGAGGGTATCCATACTCTGACTATGGCTACAACAGAGACTATCCCTACTACTATCAAGATAAAGAAGAAAAGGATCCATCCGAGGACCAGTACGATGGGCTACCAGAAGGGAATGAAGAAGAATTAGACTCAAATGATCTTTCAGAGAGTGACTGTGATATAGAAAGTGAAGAACCAACCAAGAATGTAATGCTTTGTTTATTTGACAAGGTCACCAGGGTGAAGGACAAGCGCAGGTGCACATTAAAGCACGGGTTTCTTACGATTGGAAGGACAGATTATACATTTAATGTTGCAAATGGTGATCTGGAGTGGTAATGTGATTGGTAAAATGGTTATTTATTTCTGTTCTTTATTCTCCTCCCTTAACTTTATTTCAATAAATTTGTCCAGTAGTGCTCTGGCACGTATGTCATTCCTTCTGTTTTTTATGGATTTAGTGCAGGGTGAGTCAATTATTTCTTGTGTTGGTGACCAAAATATCTTTGGGAGGAGGTGTTTCTTGTTTGTGTTTGGAAGTGGCATAGTTAAATAAAAATAGAAAATTAATATAGATACAATGTGTTATAAAAAATATGATGAATAATATATATGATATATAGAGTATTATATAATATATATAGGAGTATGTGTAGTATATAATATATATAGGAGTATGTGTAATAATTTATTAATAATAGCACAGTGTGTAGTATATTCTTATACTATATATTAATTATACGGGATTGTATTATAAATATTATATTTTGTACGTGTACCACTAAGTAAAAATACTATTCAAAATATTTAACCAATAGTTTATTACTTATTACACATAGCACAATAAGTAATGCGAATAATACGCATAGTATACTAATACATTACTTATTACACATAGTATACTAATACATTATATGTAAGGAATAAACAATATTTTATTCTAATTTATTACACATAGTACACTACTTATTACATATTGATCATTACTTATAACACAATATACATTACTTATTACACATAACACTATAACTTATTACACATAGTACACTACTTATTACACATAGTACACTACTTATTACATATTGATCATTACTTATAACACAATATACACTACTTATTACACAATATACACTACTTATTACACATAGTACACTAATTTATTACTTCTGGTTATATCCTGTATTTACTTAATATAACATAATTGGATTTATTTCTATTTTTTAAGATAATTCATCTCTATAATCCCTGTGCATATAAAAATTTTCCATATTTCATTATATTTATACTTGAACAGTCTTTATTTAATTAAATTTATCAATAAAATAAGGTTTATGCTTGTTGTTTTAAATTTTAAAACTATAAATAGATAAAGTATTTTTAAAATTTTTATTAAAAGTCCTCCGTACAGGAGAGTTCTCCAGGTGCATAAAATATTTTATTATGATATAACCCGAATAACCCAAAATTAAAATATAAATTATAAAATATAAATTTAGGGTTATCTCGGGTTTATTCTTCATCCTCATCCTCGTCCTTTGCTACACACTGGTAAATATTAAAGAAGAATATTTTTACTTGTGTCTTTGGGAAATTTATCGTTCTCTGTAAATATTCGGGTAAGTCCCTCACATTTTTACTCTCTTTATACGTGTAGACATAAATATGCTCATGTTCTTCTAATAAGAATGTGATTGAGCAAGTGACCCCCTCCTTCTCAATCGTCTGCTTACAGTTGAAGATGTCTCCTGTTTTAGATATTTTTAATCCTGTGAATGACGACTGGTCTGGCACTGCAAGATTACTTCTTAAGTACGCGTTCTCTTGTTTTAGTGCGGTGATGTACTCTTCTCTTATTTGTTCTTTCTCTTTATAGTACTTTATAAGGTCAATTAGGTTAGAATTAGGCAGGGGATTCTCATTTACTACGTCATGTACTCTTTGTTTATACGGGGTTCTCTTATGGGCTGCTGCACGTCTTGGGGTTCTTATTGCCATAAAACAAAAATTAAGAAATGTAAAAAATGACATCTGTGGGATTCGAACCCACGCCCTGTAAAGGATAGCATCTTGAGTGCCACGTCTTAGACCACTCGACCAAGATGCCTTGTTTATTATAGGGGACAGGCTGTCACGTTTAAGTACTGTATGTATATTATTAAATATTTTATTATAAGTTAGAAAAAGCATAGATGAGAATGTGCAAAATATTAATGATAGGTCCACCATTAGCCGGGAAGGGTACGCAGTGCAAGATACTTTCAGATAAAATAGGGGCCCCTCATATTTCATCTGGTGATATTTTAAGGAATGAGATGAGGAAGGACACTGAATTATCCCTTTATATTAAAAAACAGCTGGATGCAGGCCAGTTTGTAAGTGACAGTGTCATTAGAGGACTAATTAATGAGCACATAAAAGGTATTTCAGGTGGGTTTATACTAGATGGGTATCCAAGGACTGTAGAACAGCTGGATTCAATAGAATTTTATTATGACAGGATACTATTCCTAGACACTCCCATGGACTATATCATAGACAGGGCCGAGGGAAGGCTTTGCCATATCCCATCTGGCAGGATATATCACACGAAGTATAATCCACCAAAAGTCCCAGGGCATGATGATGTGACGGGAGAACCCCTTGAGAAAAGGAGTGATGACCGTGCCGAGTTAATAAAAGGGCGCATTCTAGATTTTATTGAGAAGACCGGGGCAGTAATTGAAAAGGGCATAAAAATGAACAAGCTCACTCGGATTGATGGCAGTCAGCCAAAAGAGAGAATTTCCAAGCTTATACTGGAAGAAGTTCAAAAATTAGAATTTGATCAGAACACTCCCGAAAGATTTCTTTAATAAAGAAGCAAAGTAAATTTCTGCTTACAATTCAGACAATAACCCGACATAACCCGAATATAAATTATTCCTTTATTATAATACAGATTATTCCCCGGGTGGTTCAATAATTCTTAATAATTCCTTTCTTATACTGGGCAAGTCCTTCACTTGTATGTTTAAGTATAGTAAATATAGCTCCAGTACATTTATATATTCAAAGCACGTATCCACCAATAAATATTCGATATTCTTTGTTGATGACGCATTCTGAGCGCATGGCACAGGGTCAAGTAATGGATTTACACGCTTATTTATACTATGCCCAGGTGCAGGCACAGAAGGTATCTTAGGATTACTCACCCCATCAGACACACCAGATACACTGGGTATACCAGATGTACTAGGCGTATGTGTACTAGACTGACTGGGTGTAATATGCGTACTAGGCGTATTGGGTATACTAGGCATATTAAGTGTACCAGATGTACTAGATATATCTGGTGTACTAGGTGTACTAGACTGGTTCTGTATGCTGGATATATCAGGCGTACACTGACTGGGTATGCTGGATGTACCAGATTGACTGGATATACTAGGCGTATTAAGTGCATTAGACTGACTGGGTGTACCAGGTGTACTAGACTGGTTCTGTATGCTGGATGTACTGGGTATACTAGACTGACTGGGTATGCTGGATGTATCAGGCGTATTAAGTGCACCAGGCGTAACAGATGTACTAGACTGACTGGGTATACTAGACTCACTGCTTGTACTAGATATATCTGGTGTACTAGACGTACTAGACTCACTGCTTGTACTAGATATATCTGGTGTACTGCTTGTACTATTAGGTATAATAAGCATATCATCTGGCATACGTGGCATGTCTGGCATATCTGGTGTACGTGGCATATCTGACATATCTGGCATGTCTAGTATAATATGCTTATCTAATATGTCTGTTCTCATCCTCTGTTGTATATTTGGTAATTTACTTAATGGATTTTTGGGTGACAGTGGTGGCTTTAACATACTTCCATTCTGTCTCATGGTTTTTATATCCTCTTCTAATTGTTTTATCATACTTCTATTCTGCTTCATGGTTTTTATACGCTCTTCTATTTTCTTCATCGCTTCATCAAACACGTCTTCATCAGTTTTAGTACTGTTTGTTGTTATAATACTACTTATAAATAGGAGTATGCCCATATAATACACTCTCATAAAATTTATTAGAATAATCCTGTTTATTATTATAAATTACCATATATAATCAAATAGATAATTAATTAACGGATTATACTTATAATGTACATATATGGAAATAATCCATTATTTATCATATGAATTCATGTGAATTACCATTGAAGTCCATGATTCTTTCTATTTCTAATTCATTCTCTACTAATAATATTATTTTTGTTGACCTTACCGCTCTTAGTCTGATATTATTCAGCAAATACCCTTTTAGTTCCTTATCCTCCCTGTAAAATATACAAACCCCTGTCTGAGCATCAAATAAATTATGGTTATACGCATGTATGACGTACTCAAATGAAGAATTCTTACTGCTTGAGAAATAGAAATAATGAATTTCCGGGTTATTCTCGAATATGATATAGTCCTTATTACTGGTAATCATGGGACCATCAAGTAAGTTTAAGCTGGTTATGGGCGTATCCACACTTATATCTGTGAAGAATTGAATATTTGATATATTTTCAGTTATTTCATTTTTTGAGTTAATTATGGAGAAGTCCCATAGCACATCTAACCACGTAGTCTCTGTAACGAGAGAATCTTTAAATGACTTTAATAGTTCTTCATTATCAGATACGCCTGTTGCTTCTACAGTATAATCTGTATCCCTGGGCATTCTTGTAATAAATAAAGTTGTCAGTATACCGCCCATGATCAGTCCAAATGATGCAGTGACTAGCAGCAGCTGCACTTTCAAATTCATTTTTATAATAATAATTTTAATTCAATTTATAATTAAAATTAGACTAATTCCAGGCAGAGGATCAAATATACTCCTATAAATATGTGACCAATAGCACAGTAGAATTCGGGTTATATCGGGTTATGGAACATAGGAATAAACCAATTTGGTATCACGGGGCACGAGTGCATGCAAGATGTATAAAGTGAATCTTGTAAATTATTTTTATGGTAAAAATAGAAATAGAAGAAGTTACAGAGGAGAGTATTAAATTTACGCTTGAAGGGTGTACGCTTGGGATGGCAAATGCACTCAGAAGAGTAATAATGACTGAGATACCCACACTAGCCATAGACATCGTACAGTTTGATAAGAATTATACGGTCATCCCAGAGGAGATGACAACTGACAGACTTGGACTAATCCCGATTGAAAGCAGTTTAGTAGAGAAGTATCTCTATCCGAAGGATTGCAGCTGCAAGAGTTTTTGTAAGAACTGCTCCATCTCGATCGTACTGGATGTAAAGAATGACGGACAGACTCCAATGACAGTCACATCAAAGAGTCTTTTTGTAGAGGGTGGAGATCCGATAAACATTGGTGATCCAAGGTATCCTTCTATTATAACCAGGCTAGGCCATAAGCAATCAATTAAGTGCAAGTGTATAGCGGTAAAAGGCATTGGCAAGAAGCACTCTAAATGGTCACCCGTATCTACAGTTGCCTTTGGGTATGACGAGGACAATTCATTGCGCCATACGAAATTCTGGCATGAGAAGAGTATTAATAAAGAATGGCCAGCCCCATGGTTCTCTGACAAGTCCACTCCAGCACAGTCTGAGGAGTACGTGCACAGTGCCGACCCAAGCAAGTTTTACTTTAATGTTGAAGTAGTAAAGGGTTCATTAAAGCCCATGGAAGTACTCTCCAGGGCAGTACAAGTCCTTAAGGATAAATTAAAGCATGTAAGGGATGCACTAGAAGACATCTAACTAGTGTATAATTCGTATTATAAGTATTAGTGTAGAAGTATATTCGGGTTATGTCGGGTTATATTAAAAATAAAAATAATAATTTTGGTTTCAGTTCCTGTGGTAATGGTTTAATTTGCTTATTCAAGCTGGTTCACATAGAAAGACCTTTTATTTGTCTAATTTAGCAACGTACTCCTTTGCTAGTTCAAGCACTTTCTCTTCCCTCTCCTTTGTCCCGTACTCCTTTTCAAACTTCAAGTACATTTTAAACAGGCTTTTAATGGCCTCTTCTGCTATGCCCGTTGAATTAACCGATTTATGCAGGACATTCCTGGTGTATGCAATATCTGCTGCCTTGTCAATACTTCCCATTTCAAGTGCGATGTACTTAATGATCCACTCTTCCTTGCTTTTATTCTCTATCTTAGATATCTGCTGCTCAATCACCGACCTTCCTTCAATCTTTGACAGGCCGTACAGTGCTTCTATATAAGCAATTTCAACGGACTTCCTGTCTGCATGTTTCATATCAGCCCGTGACAGAAGGTCAGGCACGGTTTTGGCCTGATCGAGACTCTTCTCAATCCGTGCGTAGTTAATTAACTCTTTATACCCGAATGGGGAAGTACTCCTTTCTTTTATGTAGCGTATACAGACATCCCTGTATAACTCTCTATTCTTACCCGTACGTATTGTATCGATTACTTTCTTAAGGAAAACACTGCCTTCTCTTTTAATACCCTCTTCTAATGGGACTAAATATTCTGGTTTAATAGGGCACTTAATATCCCCAAGTAGGGTTACGTATACGAGACAGATTTGTTTTTTAGAGTCGGGTGACTGTAAGTAATTGATGGCTTTGTTGAATATCTTAATAAGACCATCTGGCTGCATATTCTGCATACGCTTAGTCCATGGAGTAATACTATCCTTACTGTTGAACAGTTCCATTTTAAGGTCTTCATCCTCATCAGAACTTTCTTCTTCTGTTTCTTCATTATCATCTATGCCGTATACTAATGGCTGTGCTTCAGATTCAATAGTATTGGCTAATTCTGACTGTGTACTCTCAGCGGGTGCTGCTTCGATTGAGTTAAGTACTTCATATTTCTTAATCGATGCTTCAAGCTTCCCTGTGTCATAATCAATATCAAACAGGACAACTTTTACTCTTTGGCCGAGGTGTATGAGGGTTGCCCAGTCCTGGACAAATCTACTGCTTATTTCTCCTATTTGTATTCTAGCGGTGATATGCCTTGTGATTCTAATAAAAGCACCGTATTGGTATATGCTGGATATTGTTCCTGTTACAACATCACCATTCTTAAGCTTTTTAATGGTTTCTAGTCTTATGGCTTGGTTTTTAAGAAGGTGTTCAGCCCACTCCTCCTCACTCATTCGCGTCTTCTCCTTCTTCTCTTTTTTTCTTTCTTCTCCTTCTTCTCCTTCTTCGCTTTTTTTTGCTTCTTTTCTTTCTTCTGTTTGTTTTCTACGTTCTCTTTGTTTTCTTTGTCTTCTGGTGATAAAATGCGGGTTTTGTTGATTATTGTTCCTAAGAAGTATCCTGTTTCTTCTGTATGTTTTTTAACCTTTACGTATTTAATGGCACCTATTTCAGAATCTGTCCCATCATCTACTCTTTTAACAATAATAGGGACTCCTCCAATGGTCTCACATATACGGGAGACAGGTGTATTACTCTTTACCATGGCTATAACACATGATCCTATCTTTGGAGCATAGTCTGATTGTGCTGCTTTTATAAAGGACTCTTTAGCAGTAACTACAACTGAGTATCCATTGATCATATAGACGCACACTTGTATTGTATCCCCCTCTGAGAATGATGGCATAGAACCCTTTCTAGAAATATCTGAGTAATGCTCCTCATAGAGTACAGAAAGTAGACCATTTTCCAGCCTAACAGTTGACAGGCCGGTTTTTTTAACCAGCTCAACCTCTCCATTAAGTATCTGCCCAACTAAGTCTGGTGAGGGAAGGTTTCTGTGTATATCATTTGCATACTCCTCAACTGGCACAGCATGTATAAGACTCTTATCCTCAGAGACAAATACAATAATTGAACTCTGCTGGTCTTCCTCTACTAGCTCTTCTTTACTCTCTACAATCAGATTGCTTATGGTCATTCCCTCTGCAGTGTATGAATAGTGCATTCTTGTGTACCTTGGCCGAATATCTCCAAGTACGTACCGTGGTCTTCCTGTCACACTTGTCCTCACTATAATCCCCGGGGATATTTCTGACTTTTCCCCAATGTAAATTTCTCTGTCTATGGTGTCGCCCAGCATATAAGTAGAACTAGTAACTGCAGTGACTTGGAAAGTTCCAAGTTCTCCCTCTTCATACGTCTTACTTGTTTTTAGAAGGGCACTCTTCCCTGGTATACCCAGTGCCACACTGTATCCTATTTCTTCTTTACCTTCAATTATCCCAGTGACTATTGAATTCGGCTTAAGCATCTTCTGTGTAAAAATAGTGCACTCATACCCAGACTCATTCGTTCCCTGCACAAGCAGCTCAACGTATATATCCTTACGGAATTCCTTTACCATAATTCTAGGCAGAGTAGTATTCTGTCCTTCTATGTCATTCTCAAGCCCCCTTTTTAGCACTATCCCCAGTTTCCCGTTGGGTAGCTTAAATCTAATAGAGTCCCGCCTTTCCATATAAAATGCCCCCAGTACATGCGATCCATGCGGATAAATCACATCCTCAGTTTCCTTTTTTTCTCTTTTAATTGCTCTCTGTCCAAATAGTATTCTTGTCATATAAATTTTTTAACTTTCAGTTATTTTAATAATTGCAAAATAAAATTCTCATAAAAATGACTTGTAGTCCAGAAGACAATGGCCACTGCACTTCATTGTATTCAGGATTAGGCAAATTTGAACCAACATTAACCGCATTTAGAAGACTTCATCCATCTGCAGAGTTTTTTATGTGGGTATTCTCAATTCTGTCCGGCATTTACATCATTTTCTGGGCAATCCAATCACTTGCAAACTCACACAGGTACAAGGGCAGCACAAACAGCAATAATTTAAGGAACAAGCTAATCAGATGCATAATACACCAAAAGATATTTGAAACAGAAGAAGAAGCCCAAAAGGCTGTAGAGGCCTCTAAGCTCATAAGTTATACGTGCTTAAAGAGCACAGCAGATGATACCCAGCAATTACTTGAAGACTCTGAGCCAACACCATCTGATCAGACAACAGCACTTAGCGAATCAACAATATCCAAAGAACCAACACCATCTGATCAGACAACAGCACTCGACGAATCAATAACACTTGACCATACAACAATATCTGACGAACTAACAATATCCAGTGAATCAATAACATCTGATCAGACAACAAAACCTTCTATGCACTTTAAAAACCTTAAAGATGCTTCTAAAACAATCCTAAGAATGAAAAAAAGTAAATCAATAAAATTAAAGAATAGGTTCAACCCAAATAAGGCAGTCAAATACAACTTTACATCTGATGAAATCACGATGATTTCTGATGAACTTGACAAACTGTATGAGGTAGACTTATGGCTATACAATAAGATATATGCTATACCTGCCTTTATAAATGCGCTTATACATAAAGTAGGAGTGGCCTGTATAATCATGACACTTTTTATTTTCTCTTATTATATACTGCCAATATGGCTTATACGCACGGGGATATACGTAGAGATGAATAAAACATCATTATTTTCAGAAAATAACTAGATAAAGCACTTGCTAAATCAAATGAGATAGAAAGACTGGGAAGGAATGTAATTCATAAAAAGTTACCAGATAAAACAATATATCCATTAGAACAAGAATTCAATAACCGCAGAAGAGCGTATAACAATCTATTAAAAGTATGCCAAAATAAAGCCGTACGAACAGATGATTGTGCAAATGACTATGTTTGCTATTGTAATAGGGAAATTAGTTAATTTATGTATTTAAATAATGCATGAAGCGTATTACACACAGAATTATTTAAAGTATACATAATAAATTCGGGTTATACCATCTAGATAATCAAGGTGGTCTGAGTATGCAGGGAGTCTATGCACACCCTCTGGGTATAAGAAGATAACCAAGGTATACGATCGAATGGCCCGAATAACCATAAATAATAAAGTATTTCTAAGTTTAACCGTTATAATTATTATAATTCTACCGTTATAATTCTAAACCAACCAGAAACCCAAATACCCCAAAAAGTCATTCTGTGTGGTAACTGCACGGGGTAATTTAGGGTTACATTCAAGGAGTATTCAGGGGTTATTTTGAATCGATATAATATGTCCAGAGACCAATAAGTAAACAATCAGGGCATATAATTGGTTTTTAATTTTCATCAAATGATGTGGTAATGTATAAATAGAACTACGAACAATAGAAGTATAATGAAAGTAACATACACATTAATAGCAATAGTTCTAGTAGTTTTAGGTTTAGTAAGTGCAACAGACTGCAATAAAAAATCCAGAAGTCGTTCACCATCACCCAGATGTGACGCACACTGCCCACCAGGCTTTACCAAGAATGCAAATGGAGAGTGTGTTAAAAATGATGACTGCCAAAACCCGAATTGCAAAAACTGCCCACCAGGCTTTACCAAGAATGAAAATGGAGAGTGTGTTAGAAATGATGACTGCGAAGACCCAAATGCTTGCAAACACTGCCCACCAGGCTTTACCAAGAATGCAAATGGAGAGTGTGTTCGTAAATCGCGTGCTTGCCGCTAGACTTAAGCAATACAGTGCTTGGCTGAAGCAGTAACAGGCTTGACACAGTGCCAGAATAGTATTATTTAAATAAACGCATTCTGGTAGGTTATTTTTATATTATATGACATATTGTGTTGTAATTAATAGTCAGCCTACAATATACTCATTATGTATAAAAAGTAATTCTTAGAAACACAGAATTTTTTACACAATCTTCCTTAAATTATAACCAATTTTGTTATTTGAATTTTCTTTAATTTTTATCTCTTCAGAATTTACTTTTTTATTTTTTTACTAAACTATTTCGTATTTATACTTTAAAATGGAAGCTTATTTTATAAATTTCCTAAATTGGAAAGAATTAAGCTTCCACTTTAAAGTATAAATACAGTTTAATTTTTGAAAATTTTTATAAGAGTGATTTTATAGTGCACAGAATCAGCAGAGTATAAAACTATCGGAAATTCAACAAATTAGATATAATAAGGTATAACCCGATATAACCCGAAATATAAACATAAGAATCATATGATGTGTGTCCTTGTATGCACTTAGTTATTTATTTATTCCTGCGCATACTCAAAATAACCCGATATAACCCGTATATGCAGACTAATTATTATTGACAGGTGTAAATGCGCCCTTTTCTTGTAATTCTTTAACCTTCCTGTACGCATACTCTTGAAATTCTTTGGTCCCTGTACACTTCAGCAGTAACTCAATAATATCTGCTGGTTTTATTCCTAAGTCAGCTTCTTCACTGCATGGCAGAAGTATCTGCTCTATAATACTGTCCACTCTGTTAATTAGTCCTGTTGTACAGGGTGTGGCTCTATCTGCTATTTCTATGATTTTCTTAATAGTATTACTGACTAACACTGAATCATTCTTTAATAGGCCTATCACACAGGTGTTCTCAAGAGAGTCAAAGGTGGCATCTCTCTCTGTGAAGTCTTCTTCTGTGTATATATCAGAGTAGGCAGAGGGACAGTTCATTTCTAATGCACACCACACTTTTATTTCTGGGTTATAATAGTAAATACTTCCATCCTCATACAGAACCACAAGGAAGTACTTCTCATCCAGCAGAACATTCATGACTGCTGCATGTGCCAGGATGGTTCCATCTACTGCCGTGTTCTTTATCAAGTTTATTACCTTGAATGCATTAAGTGTCACAATTAACACCTGGTTATATTTGACATCCACTGTTACTACCTGATAGAATGGCATTGCTGGCATAAGGAGTACTCCTCTTTCAAGGCTGTATACCCATACTGTATTAATATCTTTGTTTAACTTATCCTCACATACAAGGGCTATAATTGAAGAGTGTGCTGCCATTCCCTTTATCAGGTGCCCTTCAATTGTAAACCATTCTCTGTTGTTTTTCTTTATAACTAATACGCTTCTATCTAATTTAGCATCAATTGCGTACTTATCTGTTTTTGTTATTGTTTCTAGTCTAGTTAAAGACAGTTCCATACCTGCTGGGTCGGGTACTTTTCTTTCTGTGAACAGCACCACTCTCTGTCCCTTTACTACACCGAGGTCATCTGGCATTTCCAGTGGTTTAATAAGTCTTGGTACTATTTTTTTCTTTACTGGTACTTCTGCGGGTGCATCATTAGTGGGTGTTTTACTGTCCTCTGCACATTCTGGCTGGTTTTGTGGTTGTTCTGGTGCAGGGAAGTCTTCTACATTAATTACAAATTCCTTAGAGTATGGCACATTTTTAACTCTTTCCACAACAGGAGCCACAGGACTTCCCAGCTCTGTAGTAAACTCGAGTATAAAGACCGTTCCATCGTATGAGCATCCGTAAAGTGTTCTTCCATCAGATGTCCACCTTAAGTCCATAATCGGCTGGTCGCACACTTCAGTCAGCAGAATAAGTGGCTTAGCATTCATGGAGGACCAAATAGCAATACTTCTATCCTGTGATCCAGTTGCAATTATATACGAAACCTCTTCATTGTTCTTCCACAGCCATGGGTTGAACGTGACTGTTTCCACTGGTGCCGTATGTCCTATTAGTGTATATGCACGCACAAGGTTAGGAGAAAGCAAGGAGACTGCATCTTGTTTTTCATAGAAAGACAGTCCGCATGCAATGTACTTCCCATCCGGACTCCAACTCATTCTTCCAAAGAAGGATTCCATTTGAACTCCCTTAAATGGTTTTTTAGCTGCTCCTATTTTTTTCCATGCACTGTCGTATAAAAATACTTCTCCTTCATCTCCATAAGTTGCGATGTACTCTCCTTCTGGACTGAATTCAATCCCCTTACATCCCTTCTCATGCTTCTCCAGTCTGCACACTATATTGTATGCACATGTATCGTAGATGATCACTGATCCATCGTATCCTCCACTTGCAAGGTATTTTTTACACCATGACAGACAGGATACATCTGATTTGTGTGCATTTAATCTCTTTTTTGTGTACAGCTGGATCGTATCCTCTTTCTCTACTACACCCCATATGATTATTGTCCCGTCATCAGAAGCCGTTGCCACTATCTTCCCATCGAGTGAAAATCTAACACACAGAATTGCTCCCGCGTGCTTTATAAAGGATGCTTTCTCCTGGCTTTCTTGCTCTGTAATTCTCCAAACCTTAACAGCCCCGTCCTGTCCTCCTGTGACAAGACATGTAGAGTCATTTGGCCTTGAGTCTATGCTAAAAATAGAGCACTTCTTCTTATTTAGAACATGTGAAATACCAGTCAGTAAAACTTTCATTAAAAAATATTAATGTCTCTCTGTAATGTATGCAATTTACCAACAAGGGAAATAGACAATGGATATGTCTGCCCGAATGGCCATGTAACCACCAAATTAAAAGAAGTAGATGATGAAACCGACTGGAAGTCAAGTCTACCAGAGGGAAAGAGAAGGAAGTATCCTCAGTTAAAGGAGATCATTCATACGCTTAATACAATGGACCTCTGTGCTCTTATAGGAGTGAAGTACTTACACTCTCTTCTAAAAGAGTATGAAATCCCATACTCTGCATTCTCCAGGTACAAAGAGCTCTACTACTCCTTCTCTATTGCGATAGAGTCCCTCCCAGAAATAAAGTTATGCAGTGGGTATAGGAGGATAGCAGAAGTATTTGTATTCTTAGTCAAAAGGGATTTAGAGGAGAAGAAGGGTCATCTCTACACACTCACTGACTTCACACGAAAATTAGACACCTGCAGGTGCACACAGAAGTATTTCTTAGCTGTACGGCGGCATATTCAAGTGAGGTATCTAAGGACAGTCACAAAATCCAAGCAGATCACGTATAAAATATCATCACCAGACATAGCAAACCTTCTTAGACTAACATTCCCGAACAAGAAGGAGTATACTCATGGGATTATAGGCAGGCTAACTGAGCAGGCCCTTTATAAATTATGTACACAACTGGGCATAACAGTCACTCCCTGTTTAAAAGAGGGTTATATCGGGTTTAAGGACACATTAGATCTATTACAATTCCCTGCCCGGTATAAGCACTTATGCCTAAGTGAGGTTTATATCACAGGGTATTTATACTTATACTTTCTATCACGGTGTTCATTAACCATGATCAATGGGTACATTTATGTAGTAGAAGCACCGCGAGATCTGTCCGGTGGCCGGGTTATACAGGAGTTCTTCTCCAGGGAGCATAATATATCCAGTTTCAAGCAGTTTAATATGGTTATGAATGTGATAGAGCAGTACAATGGGAATCAGGCCCCTTTACTCAATCCGATTGAGTATCCACTGCCTGCTTATGGGCGTGGCACCATTAACAGCACCGTACAAGCGAGCACTTCCAACAGGATTTTAAGTGAGTTACTTAATGTGAGTGGGTGCTCATCCAAGCAGGTATACAAATTATTATTTAAGTTAATGTTAGTGTACCAAAAGTATTCACACAGAATAATTAATGACTAATTAATTATTACCTTATACAGTAACTATTACCATATACAGCAATTATATAACTGTATTTTACAACCCGACATAACCCGAATCCCAATATAATTTATATAATTAAAATATTTTTATTTATTATGCATGATGAGGGTGTAGTGAAATATTCAATAAATCACACAAGAATGAAGGAGAGGGCCAATGAGATAATTAATCAGATAGAATATGAATTAGGCAAGGAAGGATTTGATTATACCACGATATCAAACAATCTCATATTAAATTTAGACCAGTTAATAGACGACTTAATCAGCACCACTGCTGTAGACAAGCACAGTGCACATTTAACCCATGAAGTTAATCATTATATAAGGGAGATGGTTGTGTACCTTATAGAAACGGGTCCTATTCGGGCTATGATAGAGTCACGGATTGACTCGTATGATAAGAAAGCAAGCAGTCAGAAGACTTCTCGTGATGTAGCCCGTGTGTATGAATTATTGAATAATTCTGTGCATTTAGCCGTGCATAAGGTACCTGGCACTAAGTTAGGGAGTATTTCTGTGTTTACCATTAGTGGTGTGGTGTACTGGCTTATTCTTAGCCTAATTATTATTTTTATTGTTCGGTGGGGCATTTCTGTGGGTGAGTATAAGTTATTTATTAATGGGTTTATGGGTTATGTCGGGCTAAAGCACTAGAATATAATACACAGTGTGTAATATATCATCACAAACAGAATAAATTCAGAAACTAGAATAAAATATTATTTATGCCTACAAAAATGTAAAAAGTACGCTTCCAGTCGGATTCGAACCAACGACCTTTCGGTTAACAGCCGAACGCGATAACCAGCTACGCCATGGAAGCCCCATTATCTCATTTATTTTATACGCAATAATATAACTTTACCATTTTACCATTTATTTATACTTGGTCATAACCCGATATAACCCTAAATCTACAGCAATAATACGTAATGTACAGATAATATAAGTATTATCTGCCACAGCCACCCGCTGGGCAACTGTTCCTTCTCTGCAGTTGCTTTGGTCCGCACTTACCACCTGCTGGCATTTGCTGTACCTGCCCGCACTTACCGCTTGGGCAGCCACCTGCTGGGCAACTGTTCCTTCTCTGCAGTTGCTGTGGTCCACAGCCACCTGGTCCGCACTTACCGCCTGGACATCCTCCTTGTTGCTGTGGTCCACAGCCACCTGGTCCGCACTTACCACCTGGGCAGCCACCTGCTGGTCCACAGCTACCTGGTCCGCACTTACCGCCTGGGCAGCCACCTGCTGGTCCACAGCTACCTGGTCCGCACTTACCGCCTGGGCAGCCACCTGCTGGTCCGCACTTACCGCCTGGGCAGCCACCTGCTGGTCCGCACTTACCGCCTGGGCAGCCACCTGCTGGTCCACAGCCACCTGGTCCGCATCCACCTGGTGCTTGTCCCTGTGGTACTGGGCACGGCCCTGATCTTTCTGTTGTTGTGGTTGTTGTGGTTGGTCCTTGTATTGCCACTTCTCTTTGCTGTTGTGTTATAACTGTACTTATGAATATTCCTATTATTACTATTACACTATGTGATACTTTCATATATTTAATAAACGCATTACTATTTATACTTTATGTCATATATTTTGATTCTCCTGATAGTGTCTCCTTTACCCCTCTTATAGCTCCTGGATGTATTACCTATCAATATTTATTACACAATATATAATAAATAATACTTATTACACAATATATAATAAATAATTTACTTATTACACATCACTTATCACTTATTACACAATACATAATAAATAATATATCACTTATCACTTATTACACATCACTTATTACTTATTACACAATATATAATAAATTATCATTTATTACATAATACACAATAAATTATCATTTATCACTTATCACTTATTACACATAGTACAATAAATATTATCATTTATTACACACCACTTATTACACAATATGCATCACTTATTACACAATATATAATAATTAATATATCATTTATCACTTATCACACAATATACATCATTTATTACACAATATACAATAAATAACATATTACTTATTACACATCATTTATTACACAATACACAATAAATAATACTTATTACACAATACACAAAATGTTCTACTAGAATTTTATTTAAATAATAATTCAATGTATTCATGATATATAACACAATATGTTATATATTATGTACTTAGCAGCATCTACCCCCACAGCACTCACCTGTCCTGTTATAGTCATTTGTATGTGTCCTGTCACAGTCATTTGTTCTGTAGTTCCTTGCCTTTCCACAGCCAGCCTGTGGCACACACCTTCTGGCCTTTACGCTAATTAAATTTAATATTATTAAAATAGTAAAAATATAAATAAATCCCTTCATTATAAAATTTTATTTGCATTACTATTTATACTTTATGTCATATATTTTGATTCTCCTGATAGTGTCTCCTTTACCCCTCTTATAGCTCCTGGATGTGCCACCTATCAATATTTTATTACACAATACACATTAAATTATTACTTCTTACACAATATATAATAAATAATTTATAAAGTTTATATAAAATAAAATTATTACTTCTTACACAATACACATTAAATTATTACTTATGACACAATCCACATTAAATAATTTATAAAGTTTACATAAAATAAAATTAACATTTATTACACAATATACAATAAATAATACTTATTACACAATACACGATAATTAATATATCATTTATTATACACCACTTATTACACAATATACATCATTTATTACACAATATACAATAATTAATATATCACTTATTACACAATACATAATAATTAATATATCACTTATCACTTATTACACAATATACATCACTTATGACACAATACATACTAAATTATCATTTATTACACAATACACATCATTTATTACATAATACACAATAAATTATCATTTATCACTTATTACTTATTACACAATATATAATAATTAATATATCACTTATTACTTATTACACATCACTTATTACTTATTACACAATACATAATAATTAATATATCATTTATCACTTATTACATAATAATTAATATATCATTTATCACTTATTACATAATATACAATAAATAATACATCACTTATTACACATGTATACACTACTTATTACACAATACACAATAAATAATACTTATTACACAATACACAAAATGTTCTACTAGAATTTTATTTAAATAATAATTCAATGTATTCATGATATATAACATATTGTGTTATATATTATGTACTTAGCAGCATCTACCCCCACAGCACTTACCTGTCCTGTTACAGTCACCTGTCCTGTTATAGTCATGTGTACTGTCACAGTCATTTGTTCTGTAGTTCCTTGCCTTTCCACAGCCAGCCTGTGGCACACACCTTCTGGCCTTTACGCTAATTAAATTTAATATTATTAAAATAGTAAAAATATAAATAAATCCCTTCATTATAAAATTTTATTTGCATTACTATTTATACTTTATGTCATATATTTTGATATATCTTATTATAACTTATTGGTTATAGTCGTATAAGTAAGATCATTAAAAGATTCCCCTTAAAATTTTTACTTCCTTTTT